GATGACTGGGGACAATTACGCACGTCTCCATCAATGACGGAGACAGCGGGACCAGCAGGGCCCTGGCCCCCCTAATATCATTGATTTGCTGCTAGTTAGTAGATGAACAATTATAATTTAGACAAAATACATGTATTAGTATTGTTTGGCCTCTTTATCAAAAGTTTGAGTCACCCCCCACCCCTTATCCTTAATTCCTGGCTCCGCCACTGGTCTCCATAATCTATCTCTCCTTACACGGAAGAAAATAAACCAATGCAAAACAAAGCAATCACATTTACTTAGGCAGAAGTGAGCGAACAAGTAGTTGCTTTACGAAGTGACACCGTCACTATTTAATGCTCCCCTCATTCATAAGATATTTCATAACTTTTTCCTGTTTTTGAACATATAAAAAATCAACCTTTTAAGTTTTAAAAAAAGCTGGAAAAATACACAAGTCCTTATAGATGTATACTAGATGTGTGAAATTTCATCACGAAATACGTTTTTATGTGGCCTGTCCAAAAACAATTATGTGATTTTATACTGAATAGTACATTGGTAGAAATACGTGATTTTTTCATTTCTGCGTCGCTCACACAAAAAAGTATTTCATCATGAATCTTCGCACACAAGTACTCCCCATGTCTCAAAATGTTGGCAGTTTTTTGAATCCGAATGATAAGTGCCACACGCCAGGTGCGTGACACTCCGACCCTGACGTTTTTTGATGGCAATTCCAATCATGCAAGGACGGCAAATTCCATTGACAAAGGGCAAGTTTCTGTCAAAAAAAAAAACTGAAGCATGAAAGTTGCCATCCCTACATCACTAAACTTGCCATAAAACATTTGGAGTTGCCATGTGCTTATGCTGCACGTCAGGTACTTATCAGGGTCCTCTTGAAAATGTCTTACATTTTAGACTGCGGGAGTAGTATACATCCATACTTATATGTGTATTTTTTCCGAATTTTTATAACTAAAAAATTGAAATTTAAAGTATATACAAATAAAGGGTTCCATGAAGCTCGAGCTTCGTTAGGCATCTATGTAGTCCATATTAAAATATCCAAAATATCATATATTTGTGAATGGAGAGAGTCAGTTCTAAACCTGTGGAGAACCAATCGATCAAAAATTCAAAGCTCTCGACACTCGAAATATTTTATTACCATCCAGCAAAAAATCAAATTAAAATGAAAAATTGGTACCTGAAAAGAAAAAACGTGCGTACACATAGCTCACTCAACGGCTAGGGCCTAAACATAACTTGTCAGAGAGCTTTGTCGGTCGATCAAAAACATAGTTGGTAGTACTGAGCTCTTTGTAGTCAACCTTCTTACTCGAGGACGAGCAAGGTTTAAGCATGGGGAGGTTGATGTCTCTATATTTTCCGCATTTTTAGAGCTCATTTGTTGCATGTTCTCTTTATATATCATGTCCCATTGAACCAAATAGTTGTCCATTATGCATGATTACCGGTATTTACACTTTTCCTTGTGAACACTGCACTTTATTTGTTTTTATTAGCTTTCTTTGTTTTCTTGTGTCTACATGTATTTTGGAGCAACTTAGGACCAAGCATGATGAAAGAACGAAGGATGGGTTCGATACGGAGTCAGTCAGGGGCCAGACTTAGCCATTTCGGAGGTCAGAAAAGGTCATTTTTTTCAAAGTGCTCCAAATCAATATCTAAGACAAGAAATGGATCGGAACCTCTCCTCAATCGGCGACGCCTAGACCACGAGTTCAGACGGTGAAGAGTAAGGTATGGGAAACAGTGGTGCCTTGTGTCCCATGTGGGCCAGTCCATGTCCCATGTCCCACTCTTCCTTGTTGGCGACCGCACCTTCATTTTCCGGGGGTCGCGTCCGCCAGACATGGACACAGAAGGGAACAACAAGAACCTGGAGCGCGGACGCTGGCGAAGATTTAGACTAAGTTTTATGTTGCATATAATTATATGGATTTGAGGATTTAGTAATGAGGTACACGGTTGTGGAAGCAAACATTTGAGGGGTGACCAGTCATTGTTCGCGGACTCGCCCGGGAGCGTCCGTGGATGTTTAGGGGGCGGATTAGCTAGGTCCGGCGCGAATTTTAGGGGGCTAGATTAGTTAGGTCAGCATGTAGATGCTCTTATACACTATTCCTCTCTAAGGTCAATCTTCACTTGATTTCAAATGCCAGATTCCTCTTATCAATTCTAAAGAACATCTAGAACTTTAGTTCAACAATTAAACTTATGTTGATGATACAGTTATTTCATACATTTCCTGAGCCTCTGCTGACATGAATATATTTTATTGGCCGTACCAATAGCTGTTCAGTGAGATGTGCGCATGTAAGTGTTTATTTTTTGTTTTTGAGCTAACAACAATTCGCTGGGATCTATGATGTTTTTTGTTGGATGCTAATAATAATGTTGCATGTGTTGGGAGCTCTAGACTTTTTATCGATCAGTTCTCTGCTTGTTTAGACTGGTTCACTTTTTAAGGGCTCTTTTGATTCAAAAGATTTTCGTAGGAATTTTGGAGGATTAGTGATGCGACCCAGTGTAATATAAATTCTGAGGTCTTTGATGTTTCGCCTGAAGCCGGTAATGTTCAAAAATACACTGCATGTACACCTGATTACATACGGCCAAGTCACGAAGATGAACATGCACTAGTAAATGGTATGGTCATGCAAACTGATGTGTTGGAGACCACGTGCATAGATGAGGAAAAGAAGGGCGTTCAGTTTGAGATTAAATGCCACCGTATCAGACGTGCATGTGGAGGAAACCAAGGAAAAGAGCATCCTAATTATTTTGGTAAGCCACGATTAGAAGATGGCATGAAGGAGTCCACGAGCCATCGTGAATGTTTCCTTGGCAGAATTATCTACTACGCCAGAATTAAAACAAGAAGATTATTTACGTTTATTTTTCTATCCCGCAAGGAAAAGATAAACATGAGAATTCTTTTTATTTGGGAATTATTCATCTTAAAGGACGTCGGCTGGGGTCCACCACAGACAGGGAAAAAGCCACATCAGAACTAGCAGTTTTTGTTTTCTTAGATAGATCAAGTCGGTTTAGCATATACGTAGGAGTTATCTTTTCTTTTAAATATGTAGCAAATGCTTGCTTTCCAAGCTACTTATGGTGTGCGTGCGTGAGGTCTTTGGACCAAGTCAGGGTGCGGCTATTATATAAAGCCTATCTAGTCCTTTGTAAAGGGGAGGTTATATTTTGATATGAAATAGACAGATGTGTTTTTAGAGGGTAGACACCCGTATCGAGTTTTGGGGAAGCTGTCTAAAAATCCCTAAGTTTTGGAGGAAGCTTTAGAAAACCTCTTTGTTGCGATTTCTCTTCGTGGAAATTGTTTTGCGCGTGAGTGCCGTCGTCGAGATTGGTTTTCTCGTGCTGGGCCGCAAGGTTCAAACCCTCTACATCGTGTACATCGCGTGCGCAGGTGAGAGGTTACTGCTATTGGTGGTGGAGTGTCGTGAAAGATCGGACCGCAACAACCGATCAAATCTCACCACGAGGTTCGGTCATTATCAATTAGAATCCTTAGTAAAAAATATCAATGTTGGTTGTTTGATTTGTAGGATTGAATCCTATAGGAATTTTATCTAAAGATTTCTTTGTACTAGTTTTCATAGGATTTCTAGCATCCACTTAACCCTCTTTGAAAAAATACTTTGTTTTTCCTATGATGCAAACAAAAAACTAATATCCTATAGGATTGAGATGAACATGACATTTCAATCCTATGTTTTTTCTATTTTTATGTTTTTGGAATCTGTGAATCAAAAAAGGCCCTAAAGCAACTAGCTCGTTTGCAGGTATATAATTGCTTTGGTTTGCATTGGTTTGTTTTCGTTGTCACCGCTTATCATCACATTTTCTGCTTCTTTTCACACGTCCTTCGAACAGATGGCAAGGGTCAAGGAAAACCGCGTAGGCCTTTAGAGCACCACCTTCCATTCTTGGCAAAGATAGAACAGTGCAGTTAGAAGAGTGCACATGCTGACATTCAAGAAAACGGCTACTGAGCTTGCAGCAAGGTGGTGTTAGTAGTGACGCAAATGGAATTTGCCGCTCGATAGTTGGTGTTAGTAGTGCACAAAGCATGAGGGTTGCTACTGGAGTAGAAAATTACTGCAGTTAAAATGAGCTAGCCAGCTACCGTAGCTTTTTACTGCCATGCATGTGCAGATCCTACAACATGTACACTAATGAGCATGTGGGAGGTTCTCATGAGCACAGGACAGGGATTGCTCAGGCCCAAGCTCTAAGATTTATACGTTACATCAATCAAGGCTTGGATCCCTTCCAAGAGTAGGTTACAAGGGTGGAGGGGCAAGTAACTAGTGGGTAACTAGTAGTACCTGCAAGTAGGCTCCTAGGCTAGAAATGATCTCAAACCAAACTATATGAAATTGTTGGAAGCACCATTCGTCCAAGTGGTATGGGTGCTCTAGGGGAAGCAACTAGTAGTACCGCAAATGGAATGGCCGGGTTCATAGCTGGGGTAGAAAATTACTTTGCAGTTAAAATGAGCTAGCCAGCTACCATATAGGTTTTTACTGCCATGCATGTATGCATGTCTATGCCTGTGTGTGCTGAACTTCATTAAGATCACATGTCTCTATATCCCATTGCATGAAAGAAATTAAGCGTTGCCAATGGTGGTATACGCGCCCCAGAGACGCATCTTCCCCGCAGTTTCCTCCATCGTCACTGCCATCCACTCATCGACACGTTTGCAGGCGTTGGGGCCCGCGCCACGCGTCGTCGCTTTCAATCGCTGGCTGGCAGCTGCTCTTAAACCGCTCCACCGTGAGCGTAGCCGTCGTGCCCTGCCATTGTTGCTCTCTAGCTCGAACCCGGCCCTTAGAAGAAGCACGTACGCCACTTCTTCTTCTTCTTCTTCTCCTTCCTCCTTCTTCTTCTTCGTTGTTGTTGAAATTAAGCTGACTGTGCGCTGCGTTGTAGTTGTAGCTGATCTCGTCCTAGCAGGCATGGACGGCAAGACGGAGATGCTTCTTCCGCGCCCTGTGACCGTGGCCAAGAAGAAGATCCCAGGTTCTGTCTGGCTGGTCTGCGGATGGGCGCTCCTCAGCGCCTGCGCCATCGCCTTGGGCCACTACGATCTCCCCTGCAGACAGGTAATTACCCCTTGGACGCTGGACACGAAATTAATTCCGAGCTTTTCCGACTGACCGATAGATCACGCGCCGGCCGGCCTCCTGTTCGTCGTCTGCATGCAGGCCACGTTCGTTCTGCGGTGCGGGTGCGTTGAGCTGACGGACACCAAGGCCGCCTGCTTGAGCGCCCTCTGGATCGGGGCCCTGCTCTGCACCGCGTCCCAGGCAGCCGCGGCGGCGCTGGCGCTGCTGCTCCCACGCCTCCACCCCGAGCTGCTCTCGCTCTCGCTCTGGCTCGCTGCCACCGGCCACTGCATGGCCAGCGGCGCCGTTTTCATCCTCTGCTTCGCCGAGCCATGCCCAGGATGCTGCTTCCACAGCACACTCTTCGTCCTGGCCCTGTGCTTGTTGGAGTTGGGCGACGTCGTCGGCTCCATGGCTCTCGTCGTGGGAGCGGTGAGGAGTAGGGCACACACCATGTAGGCGATTAGCCCAGCAAGCTGCAGGGGACTGTATGTGTCCATGGATCAGCTCAAGATCGAGGTACTGATGAAGTGATGAGCTAGTTCTCGCCAAGGAAGAATAAATCTATTGTAGTAGTATGCAGTATGCTGCGAGGAGTGATGGAGCGAGTGCCGTATGTATGTGTGAATCTGCAACTAGTGCCTGATTTGTGCTCATGTACTCATATGTTGTTCCTGGCGTTGAGCATTACTATTGTATTCCATTCCACCTGCAACCGCTATGTATCTGTTGGAACTAATCTTGTCGTTAGTATTAAGTTAGGACTTAGGACTAGTCTCATGTTTATTTCTGTTTGATGACATTAGTTGCAGTAGTCGACAAAGTCCTAGCTAGTTGTATGCACGCAGTGGATCGGCAGAGAGCACGACACAGAGATATAGTGTGTGTATTGCAGCGAGCGGATCGGTAACCATCAGTTGAGTATATGCATGCACGTGCTGTTAGTATTAGTCATGTATTTAGTGACCAGTTAGTGCATGCATGCAATTAAGATGTGGTTTGCATTAGTGGTCAAGTGTTTGTTAGTAGCTAGCTACATGTATGGAAGAAAACGGCCGAGCCGTGTGGCCGTTGCGTGAGGTAATTAGCTAGTGCTGACGTGGGTGCGTCTGTGCATGTTAGTGGGTTAGTGGCTGTGTTCTGGCCGTGTATTGGCGTTGTGTTAAGAGTGAGAATTGAACAAGAGGAAAAGGCACAAGTGTGTGCGGTGCCACAAAAAAGTCCCCTGTGTGTTCATGTTCTACCTCTTGTGTATGTGTGTAGTTTCTTTCTAGCTTCATCCTGGGCAAAGATAACAGTATCCATATGGGTTCTGCCGTATCGTCGGTTTGGTCTGGATTTTTCGTTACGGAGTACCTTAATTACCTGTTCCTCTCGGCTGGGCTCCGTTTGGCCTGAACGACACGGGTACCTACTTGCGAGGTTTGAGATAGGTTGGGTCCATGGTGGATGGGCATGGCTCTGGCTGGCTGGCTAGTACGAGCGAGCGGTGCAGATCCATCATGGCCGCGCGCACATGACTGAACGTGTTTTAGCATTGCCACAACGATGCAATCAGATGCAGAAGCAGACGCAGAGACCGCATTGGTGGTGGTGCAGACGGGTTGCGATCAACCTCCGCATAACTACAGCAGCCATTTCTTTTCCTCAAAAAAAAAAAAAAACTACAGCGGCCATTTCTCAAGAAAAAAAGAAAAGAAAAACTACAGCGGCCAATGGCGACCGACCCATGGGCGTATGGCCAGCAGCAATCCTCACGTGGTAGAAGCACGTACGGTCATATCCACGGCCGGTTGAGGCCCTAAATGCGGCGGTAACTTGAGCAGTTGTTGCTAGCCCTCATGTTGCTTTTGTCTGATTGCAGGGTCTCAGCCCGAACCAACAGGGAGAGTTCATATGCCATTCACAAGAGCAATGCCAATTCTTTTTGTCATTGTCAACATTTTCATAAGGATCACTTTAAGCAGCCTGATGAAATCTCTACTACTTAAAAGAGTTAATTGCCGAAAACCACCACATTTGGGGCAAGGTTTGCAGAAAATCACCTAGTCCCTAATTTTATGCAAAAATCACTGCGTTCTCAGTAATCTCTCTGCAGAAAGCATTGATCTGAGGATCTAGGCCATTTAATCATTTTCTAACAATGGAGCCAGACTGTAAGGAGCTGACTTAGCAAAACATTGACATACACCCCCTGGATCAGGAAGAAAAACGCAATCCAACCCAGCGGGTGGCGTCCCTCCTCCCTCCGATCCTGCAAGCCGCCGTTGCCTTGAGGCCTCCTCTGTCCGATGCCTCTGGCAAGCCGACGCCCGCAACCAGCAGGCCCCTCACGCCGCTGTCCCCTACCTCCACTTCTTCTTTCTTCTTTCTTGTTCTCTGCAGGAAGCCGCCATGGATGTATGGAGCTCCACCGCGCCGCCCAGCTTGCCTACACCCCCACCTTCGCTCGCCGCCGTCCCATTCCTGTCAAGATTCGATGTCCTGACCCAAGAGGACAACGGCGCTCGGAGCGTGAGCCCGCGGCCTGTGGCCGCCTCCGTTTGCCGCCTGCAGGGCGCCTCCTGTGGCGGCCTTGAGCGCCACCACGACGGCCTTGGGCAGAAGACGAGTGAGGCGCCCTCCCTCTTCCCGACGGATCCACGGCGAGGCGGACACGCACGAGATGCCACGAGTACTGGCCACATATCGGGGCCGCACGAAGCCTGTAGCGATGGTCGCCGACGTGCTTGTCCGCGACGGCGACATTGTCAGAGTGGCACGGGGGTCGGCCTGCTCGGGCTCTCCTGATCTGATGGGATCGATGCAGCGAGCTCTGCCGGGCATGTCCCGGGGGCTGATTGCTCTTTTTAGATCTACTAGGGGTCCGTGTGTAATTATTTTTGCCAAGTCAGCTCCTTACAGTCGGGTTCCATGTGTCAGAAAGTGATTAAATGAGCTAAATCACCTGATCAGTGCACTTTGCAAAAAGTTTACTAGAAATGCAATGATTTTTGCACAAAATTAGAGACTAGGTGATTTTCTGCAAACTTTGCCCTGAATGTGATGGTTTTCTGTAATTAACTCTACTTAAAAAGAACGTCATATCCTATCTTACATCAATGGTTCTACTACATGATACATGTCGATTGTTTGCTGATGAAAGGAAATAAATGTTTCCTAAACATATCACACTTACAACTGTTGCAAATATAAACCGTTCGAATTATATTTGTTGATATGGTGGTTGAATTGGTACTCATAAGATAATATTAAAATATAGAAAAGAGAATATAGACAACCTATAGACAATTTGCTGCAAAACTAGTTGTGTATAAGAAGGAATCTTTTCAGATTGTGTACATGGACATTTTACACAATGTAATATAGACGTACATTTGGAGTTGCTACACCAGTTCTAGATAATCCTGGTTGAGAAAAATAAATACACGGTCGAGAGGATTCAAACCCTGGTTGCTTGGAAAGACCCAGCAGCCACGTTGGCCACCACATCCAGCTGAACTATTTGTTGAAACGAAAGAACTTACTTTTCTCTTATTAGGCTGCGATCCAACCGAGCTAACTCTAGCTTTTGTAGCTAAAGTGGGTTCCTTCACATATTGTGCATAGTCCCACTTTGCTCCCTTAAAGCTGAAGCCATCAATTTAAATACAACTACGAGTTAAAATCACTAAGTGATAAATATGTACTCTCTCTGTCTAGGTGTGTAAGTCATCTTACGAAAATCAAATAATCCCAAAACACTTAGGCGTGGTGCATTAACTTCTACCTCGTTTCTTGTTTCTTGACATATCAACCAATAAGAAGCGAGGGGTGTGCATGCTTTTAATGACTTGAGACTATCAAACACGACATGCAATGGTTAGTTCATTGCATGCAATACTATTAATTAGCAAATAAACATTAATGTCTCTCATTTTCCCCTCCTCCTTGGTCACAGTGCACAACTTAAGATGACTTACTCACCTAGACGGAAGTAGTAGAAGGAATAGGGTGAGGAGTGCGTCCTCGTAATCCCCATGGAACAAACTCACCATTGTTTGGTTATATATGAGTGGCTAAGGCTACTTCCAATGCATGGGTGCTTACATGAAGTGCTAAGCACATTAAAAACTTTAGCAACTAATGCCCTCAATGCATAGGTGCTTAACTTGTTGGTGCTAAGCATCCTTCATTTAATGATTTTATAACTAAAGTTCTTCATGTATTGGTGGGCTTCTTTTGCCTAGGTTCTCGCACTTGGCATCGTTTCTTCCTGGGGTCATCATACTCATCTCTCTCCTCATAACTACCATGCCACATCAGATTTTTTGCCTACATGGCAGCCTTAGCACCTGTACAAGGTGGAGCGCTGGGAGGGGCCTAAGGGCATCTCCAGCCGTTCGGCCCCCAGGGCGCCTAAATAGAGCGGCCTGGGGGCGTGCCGGCGCTAGTTCGGCCCCTGGGGGCAACCTAGCTCCCAGTCACGCCCCCACGCGCCGGCCCCAGGATGCGGGAAATTCAAACTTGGTCGTTCCCGCTCTCAAAAGACGCCGCAAATCCGGCGATCGGACGTAGTCTGGCGTTACAAAAAACAGAGGGGCGCCGTGCGCAACGAATCACTCGGCTTGGTCGGCTCCAGGCGTTGGCGGAGTCGGCATGCGCGGGCTCGTCGGTGTCGGACCTGCTTCGTCGCAGGGCTCCATGTCGCCGTTGAGGTCCACTACCTCGTCCTGGGTGGCGAACCCGGGAGACTCGGCGGCCGCGGTCGATCCTGTCGCGATGATGTCGTCCATGTCGGCTCCCGTGTCGTCGGTGTCGCCGAGGTGCGAGAAGGGTAGTGGTCCGCGGTAGAGATGGGGCGTCGGTGTGGACGCGTAGGAGGCGGGCGGCGAGTAGTTGTATGGAGGGTACTGCATGCCGACGAAGGCGGGCGAGGGCGTGCGCGTAGCGGGGTGACCATGAGGGAAGGTCACGTTTGGGTTGGACCCGCCGTGCGCGTTGCCCTCGGCGTAGCCGGGCGACGATGAACCCCATGGAGATCCGGCGCCTTGCTGCCCCCAGGGCGCGTACTGGGCGTGGCTGACGATGGGTGGATTCATCCCCGCCTGGTCGACCGTTGAGGAAGACGCCGCCGCGCGCGCCGCGTTGTCGCGAGCCTTCTTGGCTATGGCCCTGTTCAGCCTATCGGCGGTGACCGCTTCGCGCCGCTGAACCTCCACCCTCCACTCGGCGTTCGACAAGCCCGGTGGCTTCGATGGCGGCGCCCTCGGCTTCCTCGGCTTCGGCTGGGCCACGGTTGCCGCCGCGCGCGGCATGGCGTACTTCTTCGGCGGCATGGCGTGCTTCTTCGCAGCGAGCGGGAGGGGGTTTGTGAAGGAAATATGCCCTAGAGGCAATAATAAAGTTATTATTTATTTCCTCATATCATGATAAATGTTTATTATTCATGCTAGAATTGTATTAACCGGAAACATGAT